AGAGAGACAGAGAGAGAGGGGATAAAGTGAACCTGGTCCCTCCTAGTTCTTTAGTTTTCGTATGAGTATTACACAAATAGGTAATGTAAGTGTCGAAGATTAGAAATTCATTCCTTTGCTGCCACCCCCTCCCCCAAAGGCTGAATTACCCTGATCTTTCCCCGTTACCCATCTGTGTTTAGGCTCTCCAAGTAGGTTTCTCTGGGTCTACCCCTGCCTCGTTTGCCTTCAGTTTCATTAGTCTTCAGTTTAGTTTTAGGAAGAGTATATTACTGCACTTGCAAAACAATAAGGTTATGTAAGTGCCGTAGATTAGAGGTGTTACAACTGTCTAAGAAACTGCATTGAAAATTGTCCCTTCCTAATAAGTCGCTTTTCAGCAAAAGGGGGCTACACTGAAAAAAGCTGTTTTGAGAAAATCGAAGGTAAAGTTTTTGCTTCTTGTTCAGTTTCTTCAAAAGACAAGGAGAGTTTTCACAATAACCAAACAAATATACACACCAATGAAACCAAACTTCTCCTATACGTAGGGCAATGCTCACTTTTGGTAAAGGTCAAGATTTCTGGAAACCCCTGAACTCTGGGCTAGCCCGCTTGTCCTTAAAAGCGACCAATTATTGTTTCCAACAGCGTGAGGTTCGTGTGGGCTTGATCAAGTACTACCTCATTAGATTTCTTTTCCTTCCAAGAACCCCTTAACAGTAACAGCGTCCTCAGACACTCTGCTTCAAAGGGGGCTCTCGTGGCCTAGAGGTTAAGGTCTTCGTCTCTCATTCAACGGTCACGGCTTCGAACCCGGGTAGCGACCGAAACATATTCTTCTCCACAATTCACTCCTTTCACCTCTTTTCCTGCTCTCTAGCAACGTTCTGTCGTTTGCTTTCGTCTCCACTTTCGGCCCCCAAGTTGCGCACGTTAAATATCCATTGGTGGTTTAAAATCGATAAGAGTAGGCAGCAGCCGCCACCCAGGCAAAATTCAAAATTTCCTACCAACTGAAAATGTCTTATGTGTCACGCGCGCTCATATGACCCTTCCTCTCCACTCCCATCCTCCCCCTCTCCCCCCT